GACGGGCGTATGCACAAACATATTTTGACGACTTCTTCGTCCACAGTCTTGTGGAGTACGGGAAGACAGGTGAGGAAATCCACATCGCTTATTTGAGTGCGGTACTCGAGTGCAAGCGCACGAATAAGCTGTATGCTAATGCCGATAAGTGTATTTTCGGCGTGGACGAAACTCCTTTTTAGGGTGCTTCATCGGGAAGTATGGCCTTCGAGCGGATCCCGCTAATGTTAGGCCGTTGTGACCGGCCAGTCGGTTCCAAAGAACCAAAAAAGACTTGGGCAAGTGGCCTCGCCAACTACTTACACATATAGCGCAAATGATGCGAAAATGGCACGGTCATTGTCGAATCTCCTTAGAACGGAAAAGGAATGATGTTGGGACACCGAGCATCGGGAGGCTTTCGACGGGGTCGAAGACAGCCTCCTTCATGCAACATTACTGGCGTTGCCAGACCCCGATCGTCCTCGTCCTTTTAGTGTCGTCTGTGACGCTTCAGACTTTGCCATCGGGTGTACACTGCTACAAGCAGACGCCGAGGGGTGAGATCGGGTATACGCGTTCGAATCCTGCCAGCTTAAGGCTGCGGAGAGGAACTACTCAGTCCACGACAAGGAATTACCTGTGATGAAGTATGCACTTGTCAATTTCAGGGTACACCTGCTGGGCTCAAGGCGTTTGTGATTGACATAGATCATGCGTCCTTACGCACTGCGACTAAGTCGCGTTACCTCTCGCATAGAATGGCCAGGTGGCTTTCATTCTTTGCAGAGTATAACTTCGAGGTGAAGTTTAAGCCAGGAAATCAGAATGCTTTAGCTGATGCGTATTCATGCAGACCGGATTATCATCTTGCTCATGTCACGACGGTGACGTCGTCATTGACAGATTTATTTCGCGCTGTATATGCGGGTGGTAGTCTGTGTGTAGCGCTGCTACAAGCTCTCGGGGGCAAGGAGTTGGAAACTCGGACAAGAAACTGTCGGCGCGTTTGAGCGCACAGACACACCGATATTCGTTGAGTAGCGGGCTGCTGTTTTATAGCATCGATGCGATGGATACGCCATAAATTGTTGCTCCTTGATGAGGATTTAAACTATCATATCCTCTATGTGGACCACGACACCAACTTAGTGGTCATCTCGGTTGTGAGAATACGTACAGCTCGGCGAGTTGCCGCAATTGGTGGCCTAAGCTGTACAAATGGACGAGCACATATGTGCGCACGTGCGGGAGGGTAAATTACTCTCCGAATGCGGCGGTGCCGCTAACCAGTTTACCGGTACCCTCCGGATGTTGGCAATCCACGAGTATGGACTTTGTGTTTCGCCTGCTGTAGGACTCGGCGGGCAACATGGGGTGTCGTGGTCCTTGTCGCCCGTTTGAACAATGTGGCTCATCTTGCGGTGGCGCCGGACACCATCGACGGTTTCGGCACAGCGACGCTATTTGTCGATCGTGTCTTTCGACAGCATGGACTTCCGAAGTCAATTTTCTCTGATAGAGACCTGCGCTTCACTGAAAAGTTTTAGCCAACACTCTTTAGGGTGCTAGGCACCAAGTTGACTATGTCAACAGCGGACTATTCGCAGGCCGATGGTCAGTCTGAGCGCGTGAGTCGCGTCGTCGAAAATGTTCTTCGGTGACTGCGCTCAAACGCCGAAGCGCTGAAGCGCTATGTTGTCCCTCGTAGAGTTTGCTCTGAGCATTGCAGTGCATTCATCTACCGGCTATATGCCGTTCTACGTGAGCGGGATTATTAATCCTCGCGTCCCGCTGACGTCACCATTCCGTGGCTCGGGGCTTGGTGGGAGAGGAATAGCAGAACGGCTAGCTGGTGTCAGCCCACTCACCGTGTGTAAGAAAGTCGTGGACTTATTGTCTACTAGACTGGGTACGTTCGCGATACGATGTATAAAAGCTAATACATGCAGAAGAAATATGCAGACGGAAAAGGAAGAAGAAATGCTAAAAACATTGATGTCGGAGACCTGGTTTTATAAAGCGCGGAAAACTTTCCTACACATGCAGTTTTTGCTGTCTTCCAGACGAAGCTCCGTCCACGGATTATTGAATCTTTTAAGGTTGTGGCCGAGCGAGGCCTAGCGTATACGCTAAACCTTCCGAGAAGGATGCCCACCCACCCGGGGTTTCATGTGGGCTTGCTTAAGCCGTACCGGGATCCGGCGCAGGTTAACGCGGAAGCGTTGGCACCGGAGCGGCACCCAAAGGCGCTCGGCGACCCAGAAGTCGACCCAGCAACTGGTTCTGAGCACGGAGTGCTACAACTTCCGCTTACAACGGCGCAAGGCGCTCCATTGTCACACGAAGTGATGTATTCGACTGCTCGATGGCTAGGAGTCGCTCCGCCGTCGCCGCACTTCATCTTCCTATTCATCCCATGCTGGGAAGGGAGCGTCCGACTTGTAGTCGACTTCCTCTTACTCCTCAACAAGGAAATTTCTCGCCCGGGGTGGGCGCGTTGTGTCGCGCCCAGTTGCCGAAGGCTTGGAATGTGCTTCCCGTGGAGCCGCGGACGTGCTGTCCGGAGATGCACCCTGTGCAGAAGAAGAAGGGTTTTGCCCGCAGGCTCCCTCGTGCCAGCTAGGCTGGATGATTTGTGTGTCGTAGACACAGTGCTCATTGAGCGGAGAAGGTTTAACGTTGTTATTATGGACGTGTTGGTGTCTCAGACACGCGAGCCTCGTATGAGACGACCGTTTAATGTGAGTTAAGGTTATTCACAATTTAAATGGGGGGGTGTAACGGGGTGACACGTGCCCTTACGAGAAAGGACAGGTCACACAATAATGTACAACCTTATATAGGTGTGTCTTACACGGTTAGTGTAATAACACAGTGGTGTGGCTACACCGTAAAATAAGCCATCACGTGGCAGGATTGCCAATAGTAATGCATATTACTATATTGATTAGGTTTTGCTATACTAATTAGGTATTACTATACGATGCAATTTCTATAGGAAATTCTAGGGCTTTAGATATCAGCGGCTCTGCCGCAACTAAAACAGTTAAATATAGTTTGAGTTTTGAGCATAAGTATTCGTTTGCCTTGGTGAGGCCTTACAAGTAGCATATTGCGATTCGCTACACCACTAGTACTGGCTCTTGGAAAGAACGTAAGGTCGGTGACCTTAGCATACTTTCTTCTAAGCAAACAGCTACGGCAGCCTCGCTGCATTGAAGATGGCCGTATGAAACCGAGCGAAGTGAAAATATTTGGTGGAAGGCGAAGACTCTAACTCTTGTTTAGCAGAGAAGGGCGTTAGTAATAAAGGACGTTGGTAATGAAGCTCTTGCCGGAGCACCGAATTGGAAAAGAGTAGCTGATCAGTACTATGATGCACTCATAGAGCAGCCATTTCTCGTATTCGCTGGCTTCATTAAACAAAGCCATATTGGAATAGTCTCTGGTCTAGAACGATGTGATACAACTAGAGAAATGGTAGTCAGGGAATGATTGAGGCGGTTGAGTAAATCTGAGTCGCACGAGGTCGCGCTGCGAGCGTGAATTCAGCTGACGTATATGTCTCCAGTGATCAACATCACTCCACTTCGTGAGATTGCCGGGCAAGTTTGTGGTAACTTGGAATCTATGTATTCTCCTACCAGGGCAGATAACGAATTTATTTTGCCAATGCCGAGTTTATTTGTAAAGGCGACACCAAATAAATATCGAAACTGGGTTTATGCCGTATAACTGTCGAGAGTGCATAATCCCCCCGGAAATGCATTTTTTAAAATGCTTTGTATCGTAACGCGGCTCAAATGGAATCAGAAGTGTGCGTTGGCTATCAAGGGGATGCTGGCGTCGTTGTACTGAGTTGTCTGTAATCGATTAATTACCAAATACGGTCGAATTAGATGAAGTGGAGAATCATAGTGCCGAATATATGCTGCACTGTTCCTATCACATCTCACACTCCTTGTAGTCTCTTCCTGTTTTTTTGCTGCTGCTATCATGGTACATCTCAACTGAGATCAGACAAATGGCTCCATGATGTTTTTGAAATATCCTATAGTCGTCATATGAGTGCACAGTAGAAGAACATGTGCTGTTACGTCTCGATAGAACTACATCACTTGCAAGAACTGAGACTTTAAACGCACAAGGAGTTGCCAACACGTCAAACGAAATAGCAAGCTTCGAATACAGGAAAAATGATCTAGCGAAGGTACTTCCCGTACCGTACAAACGTCTTGTCTTAACCGCTTTACGAGCACAGGGACATCGGATGGAACTTATCGAGCGCCTTCGTCATCCAGACCGCTCGAAGAAGCGCTATCTCTAAAAATGACTTGGACCATACACACCTTCGATCAGCTCGTGCAGCACGAGTGAGCGAATGTGCGCTGATGTGATCTTCCTCTTCCGACAGCCCAATCTCCCACACTCCATGTCTGACCGTAGTCTGTGTCACCTCTCGACACGGAAAACGAAATCATTGATCTGAATGACAGAGTTTAGCAAGGTAGAGGCGATCACAAATTCCAGTTTACTCGGTCACAAAACACCATTACTCATAACGTTAACCAAGTAGCAATTTCGAGATGTGCAAACGGTTGCACATTAAGGCTCAGGACACGTCCCAACACAACGATAGTAAGCGTAGATTTGAGAGTCCTTAGGTTTGCTCGTCTTGGGCTCTGGAACCGAGCGGAGCCAGATGACTGACTTACACACGCTTTCCGTCGAAGGGGCGTGCCATGTGATCTTCCATTGAATCTTGTACCACCATACCCATGTCGCCTTCTACTAGATGGAGATCAACTGTCACTTGATCATCGTGCCATGTCGAAGTGAAGACACCGTGAGAAGGTTTAGCGCCATGCGTCAACCGACGCGAGGAAGAACTGCTTTGAGAAGATCTATGCTTGGTTTTTTCAGCTTGTTTGGCTGGCTTGCTTGATGAGCGCATGAATAGGAATAACAACTGGGAGTCGCTGTCTTTTCAGTTATGATTCAGTACTTGAGATGACCAGTGCACCTCAATATTTCTAAGGAGCAAAAGTTTCTTCTAAATAATATGGGTATGGCTTGCACTCCGTTCGTGTTTCCAACTCAGGGCGAACTTCTTAAGCGTTGACTGGTATAGCTTTGCCAAAGAAATTGCAATCGACACATGCTGAGTGAAGTGGCACAGACGAGACAAGACCATCATCTCCGCCACTAATAGCCGGCCACGAAGGGTCCTTGCTTGTCGGTACCATATCTTGAATTCGAGGTAGAAGCATTGCTCAAGAAAGTCAACAATGTCGTTAATAACTCGGGCTGACTGAAGGGGATACCAACTCAACTCAAGCCATCATATGTACACCAGAGAGCTCAGGACAGGTCTCATTTAGCTTCAGCGCCATCAAATTTGATTGGCAGGATTGAGTTTTGCACCAAACCTCTTGTCATGCTCTTCCACGAGTATAGCTGAGCTTATATACTCGCGATAGGGACGCCCAGGAGAGCCATGTCGTCTGCAAAAATGACACAGGTGGTGGTAGTGTGATCCTTCTTGAGGCACACTTCGAACTCTTCGTGGGACCGCAAAAAAATGCCGAGAAGCTTTATGGTGGGCAGAAAGGGAAAAGCAGAGAGCGAATCGCTTGACTCAATTTTGTCACACGGCAGTGCCGTTGCTAAAAGAACAAATCATTGTGATCGACGATTTTTTTGCGCAGCGACAAAAGACCGGTCATGTGCGTGAGAGAAAGTCTCAACACTGTAGTCCAACCTTTTATGATATGTAGTGGGTGAAGAGTTATACGCTGATAATGTACCCAATATTGCATTGCCTGTAGGCTATAAAACTTAGCTCCAACAGTCTTGGCAGCATACTAATGACAGCTACTATACTAACGCACAGTAAATCTGCTTGAGTTTGCCTCGGTATTGGTGCGATGTTTGAAGGATCTACAGTGGCTCTCCGCGATTTGAGCCGTAGTAGGCTTATGTCGATTACTATATTGTAGCTCCAACCACGATCAAACAGTGGATATACAACATCTTGGAACTGCTAATTATTATTACGAGAGAACGGTGGATTGCACGATAGATCTATTTGACCTCTTTGATATGTCGTGTTTTAAGCTGGCACAAACCCGAGACACAGAATTGGCTACAGGACAATTTGCGAGCGTGTCTGAGCGAATCAAGGTTTCCAGCTTATTTATAGCCACTTCTAGAATAAGCGAAGGTAGCCAGTTTCGGTGAACAAGCCAAAACACCTCAAAATGCTTCGCAATGTTCAATATACTTGACTCATGCATTTGCTCAGCAATACGACTCAGATTTGTATCCTGCGAAAGATTTTCTCGCCATTGTGCGTTTAGTCTCATTACCGCTTGAAGCGCATAACAGAAACTATCCATGTTCTCGAGCATGTCGTTGCAAAGTATATCAATATGCTCATTGCTCATTATCTGTTGTAGCTTCTGTTCATCATCATTATTTTTCAGCGTAATAGCTGCACATGCAAGCTTATATACGTTTTGGTAAAAATCACGGCGCAATTCTACTTCACGAACGTGATGTGCCAAAGATTGACAAGCTTTGCTGTTGCAATAAATTTTTTTTTGCACACCTCTTGTCTTGTTGAACGTATCGTCGAGTGCTCTTATCTCCAGCTCTCCAGCTTCAAGAGAGTGCATACTTAAATTATTTCGACACTCGTCCAATATTCTTACAAACTCCTCGGCTGCACCCTTCATTCTATCATTATATACCGCCATACCCCTCCGAAGATGTAAAATCTCATGCGTGCAATCATCGCTCAACATATTAAAGCGCGACATCGTAACACATATTCCATTTATTTTGCTGGCGCTGAAAAAAGCAACTTTTTGCAAAGTTGTTTCCCAATAATCCATTTGGTGATGCAATTGCTTTATATGACAATTCATAGAGAAATTAGATTCCTCATCCTTGACCCAGTGCTGTATAGCTCGTAATTCACACGGTGAGGTCCGGAATAGACTGAGCATTTCACACAATACCATGACTAGACTTTGGCTTGCCCGGGACCGCCGATTATGTCCTTCTAAGAAATCCGAAATTTCTCCCAACCTTGTGATCGTATTTCGCAATGACTGCCGGACTAATGATAGAAGTGGAATGCCAAAATCATCTAGCAATGACTCCACTTCACTTTGGTCATTCCGCAATTCACGGTTGTAGGCAAATATCAAAAGCCTTTCCACAACATCTGACCACGTGAGCAACACAGCATTTGTACTCAAAACCACCATATTGTCATCGCATTCGTCGTCACTGATGACGATCACATCGGAGATACGACACCTAACTTTGTTCTCCATTACAACTTCGAAATACCAGGATGTCACTCTTTATATGTCACTCTACCAGGGTAACCGCACCAGCCAAAATCGGTCCTATTTAACCGTCAAGCCAGAGAAAAAACGGCACGTCGCCAAGTCCGATCATTCACAAACAGCAAGGGAAGTCGCGAAGAGCAGAAACTGCCTAAAGAGAGAAATTTGTGGGTTGATTAGCCAGCTCTTTGTCCATTCCTCAGCCGTCAGTATTCCGCCTACCTTTGTGGGTTGAGTGGTATAAATTCTTTTGCCTCCCGACTCGCCATTCGCTCACTTAGTCGTTCGTCTCTACCGTGTCACGCGTCACTGCTCGTGAGTCAACGCTATTCCTTGCCCCTCAGCGCCCAACTTGGTGGTGCCACGTGTCATTTTCGGCCTTTCACTGCATACTACAGCTGTTTGCTCAAGGTAAATTTCTTAATCAAAAGTTAGGAAAGTAGTGTAAGTGTAAGCTTTGAGAGCTGTCAGTACTCAATGCGTCTACATCGACGCACCCCCCCCCCTTTTCGTTGCTGCTTAATGAATTCCATTGAGGAATTTCTTGAAGATGACATGACAGTGTCTATCAAATGAGATTTACGTTCGCATGTTGGCCAAAAGAGGAGGCTTTATGGCCTCTACCAATAGGTGACATGATGCGATGACAAGAGGCCCCGTCTCTCGAGCAAACCAATCCCATAATGAAAACACTGTATTGTCACTTCAGCTGTTCGTGGCGATGAAGAGTTGCGTGTGGTGCCGATGCTCGATATACTTATAGTTAATTTAGCAATATGGAGGTTACCGTGAAAATACTCACTTGCTGCATGCATATCGTTGTGCCTAGAAGATGAATGTCAACATGGAGCGAACAAGCTTTACGAGCTTGCTGGACGCTCAGTTTTGCGGAGGGTTGCAAGTCCAGCAACAGACACTCTTGCAAACACAAGCGACTCCAACATTTAGCATGCAAGGCATGATGCCGCAGTTGCACGCCGTGGGACCGCCGCAGTGTATGAAACAGCAGTCAGCACAACAAGTGCCTGTTTTAGCCCCGGGTTCGCATGAGCTGCCAACAGACCAAGCTGTACGATTTAGATGCTAGATATCTGGTGAAATGTATTGTGGTTTGTTGTGCTGACTCATAGTTTGTCTTCTACAGATTCCTAACATTCTGCAAAGCATGTTCAATCGGAAAGACAACTCCCGGCTTAACCCCTCCAGCGCGGAAACGTCCTTGATGTCCCTCGTGGACGGCAATCTTCGCGTATCTTCAATTGCAAATCTTCCGATCTTCCTTAAAATCCTTCCGCGTTGTAAAACTGAGCCGGAACAGACTCTTGGACTTGTAGTGCTTCGAGCTACCTCTACCGCTAACGATGCCAAGCTGTCTAATGCTTGTGCACGTGCATTTGAGAAGAATGGCGGACTAAGCCTAGCACGTGCTTGGGTCGAATCTTCAGTGTCTTGGCAACACAACGATTTGCTGATTTTACTTTTAGAAGTGTTGCAGACTTTATCATTGCAATTAACTAGTATTACTGAGGCACGAATCAATGAACCAATTGTCAAGTTGCGCAAGAATGCAAGTGACGAGCGTGTAAAGCGTGCAGCTCAAGACCTTCTAAAGCACTGGCGGAGCAAGTTTACTGAGAAAGAGCGGGTATCAATGTCGTTGTCCACTGCACCATCAGGAAAGAAGGCTCAGGAAAATTTAAGAAAATCCCTATCGCCGACTGCTGCGGCGAAGTCTTCCCCTTCGACGAATCAAGGTTCTGCCAAGCTGGTGCCGTCAAAGCAGTCGAAGGTCTTGAAGAAGCGGTCTATTAAGCGGTTAGAGCGTTTACCTTTCGGTGGTGGTAGTGTATCAAAATCCAGTGATTTGATTGGCAGCCTCATCCAATGTAAGTCAGCAAAAGATGCAGCCATTGCTGCTGCTACTCAAAAACCTGAAAACACTGGAAGTCTCGACGAATCGAGTGATGCCAAGCTGGATCAAGATAAAGAATTTTCGACTAGTAAACAGTCAACTACGACAAGCGTTGGCGAAGATCCCCTATCGATGCCACTTCCGACTATCCAAAGCTTCAAATTAGCTTCAACGTCGACTGTTTCATCAAAAGAGCGCAAAAAGATTCGCTGGGCCGATGATAATGGCGCTGAGCTGGTTAAGGTGAAGCTGATCGAGTCATGGAGAGACTTAGTACCACTTGATCCCCGTCACGACGACCACTCCTTTATGGACGCCAAAATACGTGAACATGCCAACGAAAGAAATGCATTGCTTGCGCAGCATCGCCGAGTGCCACCAGCCGTTGCAGCTTCCTTGTCCCGCGAATGGACTACGCCTGCGGTTATAAGTCTGCCACAAGCATTGGCTGCTCGAGTAAATGTGATCACTGCGACGGACGAAATGCGCGTTCAAGATAGTCGCCGTCGTCACCAGGATGAGTATGAGGTATTGGCCGGCGAAGTGCCAATTTCAAGCCCTAAAGAATGGGAACGCCTTGACGAGCCTCACCGGGGGCCACCAGTCGAAATCCCACTCAGCGATGCAGTCGAGACTGAGCCTAGCGTCTTGCCAATCCCGAAAAGTACACCATTGATGGCACCTCCAGCTTCTGTTGCTTCTAGTTTTGGTCGGGAAGTGTACTCTTCTGGAAGGTATAGCCAAGCTCAAAGCTATGATTTTATTGATCGAGTTGAATTTAATGGGCGTCAAACTTCCGATGCGGAGCGCAAGCTGCGTGAAGCGCTGGGCCCATTGCAAGAAAACACGGTGTTACTTTTACTGAACAATCCAGATGTGGTACCTCAGGTGCTCGAAGAGGCGCAGCGTCACGGCAATCGTGTTCCAGATGCTCGCGTTTTTGAAATTGTCGAACATTATCGTCGCGGGCGCTTCCAAGCTCCTCCTAGTGCAGGTGCCACGCAAGCATTTAGTCCTTTTCATAGTCAACTACACCTCCAATATGGTGTTGGTATGAGTACTGGTGTGGGCTTTGATCGTCAGTACCAGCAGTATCCGCCACAGCAAGGTCCTCCAGGACACTTTTTGCCTGGAAAACGAAAAGCGGATGCAATGTCCTTGTCTCAGAATGGCGTAATATCCGATGCACTGCAATCTTTCAAGAGACCTATAAAGAAGCGAGGCACGCAGCCCTGCAGATTTTTTGCTTTACCTATGGGTTGCAAGCATGGTAGTAACTGCCACTACGCACATAATCAAACGGCAGCAGGTAATGGGCCTGCCCTTAATGGTATTTATAACAACAACAACAATGGCACCTTGGGGATGGGAGGTCGGCCAATGATCGGCGTCCGTGGTCCCGGTCTAATTGATCGATTTAGTGCCGGCTATAACCACCACATGCGTGGAGGGCGGTGATGTCAAAGATATGATTGATAATCGTCTGAACCTTAGATTTAAAATGTATTTAGCGAGAAATCACTTCAGTATTAATGGCGCGTCTACTTTCGAAGTCAAGTATCCGCTAGCAATTCTCTTTAAAGGAAATCCATCTTGATGATTATAAAATGCAAAAATGTTGAACACTTCATTAAATCACACGATTGTTGCAAAATGGCATTGATATTGTCTTTACGTCTTGCTCATTATCCTAACCCACTATTGACAGAACTGGAGAAGTCCCGACAAAATAAAGGCACCCGAAGGAAGCAAGGTGATGCGAGCGCTAAACTGATTACGTAAAACAGCTTAAGCCTTGACCGACGAGGCTTTGCGGCTGCTGCGACGCTTAGCGATCTCGCTGGCACGACGGTCCTTCTGCTCCTTAACGCGCTACAGTGCCAAAAGGCGAAAAAGGAGCAGATACACCCAAGTAATTAGCATACAAAATGTCAGACATCGATCAAACAATACGCAGGTCAAAACAACATCATATGAGTAAAACGCACCTGTGCGTGCAGTCGGTTGTACTCAGCGGCTTCGCGCTGGACTTTTTCGCGCTGCTGCACCTTCTTGAGAACAAGCTGGCGCTTGTGGTGGAGCGTACGTGGAGTCACGAGACGCTGAATCTTTGGGGCTTTGTCATTCTTTTTTCCGGTCTTCGACTCAAACTTGCGACGGATAACGTACTTTCGGACATCATCCTCCTTGGTCAAGTTGAAGAGCTTGCGGATATTTGAGGCACGCTTGGGACCCAGACGACGCGGGATCTGCACGTCGGTCAGGCCCGGAACATCAGCCTCGCCGGCCTTGACGACTACCAAGTTGAGTACCGAGAGATCCGGGCCGACAATGCAACCGCGCACCGACTTACGCTTGCGCTCACCTTTGCGACGAGGACGGTAGCATGACTTTCCTTTAGAAAGTAAAAGGCGAGCACGTCCATTGGACAATACACCCTGCTTCATAGGAAATCCCTGCTTGTCGTTACCGCCTGACACGCGAAAGATGAAGCCCTTGAATTCTTCGCCAAGAACATCACCCTCTACCTCTTGGGACATACGCTTCTCGTAAAATGCGCGGAGCTTGTGCTCGTCATCGACTTCAAGCACCTTCTGGGCGCCCGTCAAGGGATTAGCAATATTAAGCTTCATGTTGGAATCTGTGGTTGTATTGTCGGTTTATTAGCTACTAAATGGGGCTTCATTTAATCACAGGAAGCAATGCATTCAATCAGCTTTCGTACCTTACAAGACTTTAAGGACAATGACTCTTGCTTAGCTTTGACCACCGATGCTCTACGGGCCAACCAACTGATTGTACAGGCTATGCTATATGTTGTAAATGATGTCAGAATACCGCATCTTGTAAATTGTATCTATGCGTATTTAATTGGAAACAATTATGCTACATCCAAGCTCATCATTAGCATGTGCACACCCAAGACACGTTGCCGGTGTCATCGTTAAGTGATAAACTTGCTCGACATGGGCAACCAATTGAGCTCACCTTTAGCCTCCGACGCTGCTGTTGCTAGGCATAAGGGAGGCTGTCCTGCTCAAAATGACGATGAAAAACGAAACGAGAGCTGTCCAGTGAGAGTCAAGAATGTCGACGGTTGTCCGGCTCAGCATGACAAGAAACCGTCAGAAGTCTTACTAACAGGTGGCTGCCCCGTAGTCAAAGATGACAAGGAACAGAAAGAGGTCTACAACGTCTACGGTCAGCGCATCGATCCTACCAATATGATGCCATACAATCCAAACCAGGCTCCGAACGAAGAACAGCGGTACCCGTTAGCACAGAATCGTGTGCAGTCCACGATTCCTAAGGGTGGAACTGAGGGCACGTGGCTGTATCCATCTGAACAAATGTTTTTCAATGCACTCAAGCGTAAAGGTAAAGGTGAAGATGTACACGAGGGTGACGTGAAGGCAATCGTGTCCATTCACAACAACATGAACGAACGTGCCTGGGCACAGGTCGAACACTACGAAAAGGTGTGCCACCCAGAGCTTAAGAACTCCAAATTACTCAAATTTTGCGGTCGTCCCGACGAAATGACACCCATTGCATGGATGAAAAGTATTTTGGGGTTCGGCAAGCCCTTCGACCGCCACGATTGGATCATCCTGCGCAGCGACAACACGCAAGTGCGCTATGTAATTGACTACTATTTTGACGATAAAAAATCTGCGGAGGATGAAGTCCCCGAGCTGCACTCCGAGGACAAGGTCAGAAGTATTTCTATGTACGCTCGTCCTGCTGTGGACTCGGTAGGTGCCCTGATCGACAGACTTAAGTTCCCTTTTACTACATATTTGAATGGACTGAAAGGTCCCAATTTAGCCGCACGCTCTGCTCTAGTTGAGAGTATTCACGAGGGAAAAAACGATGTGGAATCATTTACGGTGGAGGAGATTCAGCAAACGTTTGCCAAAATCAAAGAATCGTGCAAAAGCTGCATGCAAGAAGTCAGAACCTGCGGCAACGAAATACAGTGTTCACAGGCTGCCTTGGCTCTACAGCTATGCATGGGTCGCATCATCTGCCCGCCACAGGCCGCCGCCTTTACCAAGGCTCTCGAAATAGGCGATGAAACAGTAGTCGAAGCTGCATTTGACGCCATGAACAGCAATTTGGAGCAGTTTCAAGAGCGGGGAGCAAGCGCAATGCAGGAGCAGGCTGTCCGCGAGTCTTTAACTGAAAAGTTGGGTGATATATAGACCATTAGCACCTTTGATGGAGATTCTTCTGCAATCAAATTTTAAAAAAATATATCGAGAAAGCTGCGTTTCATGCAACTTCTCAATTTCCAGGATAGCGATTTCTTGCTTCCAGCCCTTACCTTAGCCTTTCGTCTCTCATCAAAAACTGTCTTTATGGTTGCTTCACCACGGACCCTCCTTTTCAAGCTTCATAAATACCGATATTGCGATACTTATGAATCTTCTTAATAACACCATTTGCAATATGAAGCTCGTATGTGGGTTCAATACCCAAATTACCCCCAAAAAGATGTGAGCCACACGGGGTTCACACTGTGTGAGACACTGGGCGAAATCCACGAGCAAGCGCTGCGCCTGGATTTAAACATAAACTCCACCCTTATAATTTACCTGTTCCTCAGAGCATATTTGCACAGCTGGGCCCCTCCTATGCGCCAAAACTAATATTTCAGCGTGTTTCCATGAAAGACGTGGTCCTCGCGACGACGCGCTGAAAGAAATTATTGTTGAAGCTGTGACGGGTCACACGGCACCTTGCACAGAGGAAGCTTGACTTCCAAGAGTATAC